CGTTTAGATGAACTAAAAATTACTTCAAACTATTAATCGCTTCTGCATACCTTGAAGCTCATCTTGCCAAGCAGGTAACTTTTCTTCACCAGGCACAGGGCACCAGGCCAGACAATGTATTTCATCGTCATGGCCTCTCAGTCGATGAAGTACTTCTCTTTTCCTGCTGATATCAATTATAACCACCATGCCATCCTTGTAGCTAAAAATAAAGACTTAAATTAATGGAGAGATTCTTGAAGAATAGTATCTGACTTGATTTCTGAGCTCTTTACCAGGATCACTATCTCTGTATTACAGAGAAGCCAAATCACAAGCAGCAAGAGGACTAGCAGACTGTCAGTTAGAGCTCTGGTACAGCACTGGGTACCTGCAGCTGCCTTTACAGGAAGTACAACCAGTACATGTGGCTTCGAGATGACACACATTCATTGGGAATACAGCTTTCAGAGACTTAAAAGACTACAGTGGCTTTTACACAAGGAAAACTTTTCGCAGAGGTGAGTCCGGCCCTGCCGGGATCCTGCCGCAGGCGCGGCCCTCCGGTGCCCGGGGCAGTGGATGCGGGCCGCCTCGCCCCGGGGGTCCCCGGGGTCACCTGGCTAGGTCTTCTTGTTAACTTTTCGCCCTGCCCCGGAGCTGTGGGGAACAGGTCGTTCTGTGCCTCTATAATGTATTTTTTGGAGACTGTGGCATGATGAAGGTGTCTCTCTCTCCTGACCCCTCTCTATTGGGCATCCAGATTTCTTCTAGCTCTACAGTGCAGGTCCCAGTAACATAGTACCTGTTGTTACCCTCTGTGCTTTCTCCAGTCTTTGCTTTTCTGTAGTTGCTGGTCTTCCCCTCAGTCAGGGGAATGACAGAGTTGTGCTGGGGGAGCGTTGGTCACTGCTGACTGTCTTTGACTTCAGAAAAAAGGCTGCTGTGGATTCTTAAAGCACAGAGCTTTGGTCTCTTGAGCCTGTGGAGGTAGATTGCAGAGACCTGTGTCACTGAAAGAAGAACAAACAGGCTTATGTTCCTGTGCTTTGCTTACGGCCTTGCAGTTAGACAATTACATGCTAATTGTTTATTTTAGTCAGTTCTAGTCTGTATGCCTCTCACTTGCTGCTTGTGCATAATTCTTTCTAGAAAAGTGCAGCTTGTTTCTTTCCTGTTCCCCTTGCTCACCCTTATATAATGTACTCTGGTTTGTTGCTTGTTACTGTTTTCTTTTGCTTACAATGTGTTTGTGTCCTCTTTCTTCTCCTAAAGCTATGATAGAGTTGATCTTTATATGAGGTTGGATTACCTTAACATAGAGGGAATGTAAGATTTCTTAGTTTGCTGAATGTATTGATATGTTTTGCTAATACCAGGAAGATAATCTGTAGTTTGTTACTGCTTAAGTTGTTAGATTGCAGAATGATATTCATATGCTTGTCAAATATTTTATTGTATTAATTGATGATATTATGTCTGGTGATAATGAATTTTTGTCTCAATGAGTGAAATTTTTAAGTATTAAGCAAATAAACTGGTTTTGGTAAGTAGCTGAAAAAATATTCCATAATATTTGAAATAGTATATTATGCTACCCCCTCCTGATAGGATGTGAAAACTTTAAGGTGTACAGTGCCCTCTTGAAACTAATCAACATGTTATGTTTATCAGTCGTTTTTATAATGCTTTGCACACTTCGGCTACCCACACAAAGCTGCTGAAGCTGTAGTAAAACTCACAGTATGTGGTCTTAAACTCATCCGTTATTTGCAGTCGAGTGGCTGCCCAATACTGCTTGGTCTGGTCAGCAGAGGGCGAAATGTAGCTTGTTTTTTCTGAATCTGAGGTGAGCGACCTGTCTCAAAACTATTATTTTTGCTACTGGCTGTCTTATATTGGCCTGATTGCTTTTTGAAAGTAGTGTAGAATATATTTCCTTTCAAATTTAAGAATGTTTATAAACTTCTGATACTTTGTTGCTACTCAGTCCCTTTAAAAGCTAGAAAATTTTATTGCTAAAAATATTGGTAAAAGTTAAATAAGTATTGGCTAGTTTGGGAAAAGATAAAAATTTATTTGTGTGAGTAGTTATCCCCACATAAGGACAAAGAGGTGACTGTGTCTCTGTGTGATCCAGGGACACTTAATGTGGAACCTCATGTTATACTGATGTTACTTATTGTTCATGGTTTGCTTTAGGAAGCCTGAGGCTTCTTGTTGAAGTAAAAAGCCATTTCAACATAAACCATAGAGGACTTGAACAGTTTAATTTTGTGAGTAGTCAAATGTGTCAGTTCTTTTTACCAAAACAGGTAAGTTCACAATTTTCCAGGTAAACTGGGCAGGGACAAAGAACTCTGTGTTCAGCAGCAAAGCCTGTGGTCTTGTCTTGCAGGTGGCTAGCATCTGGTAGCCTTTTTGCTCAGTCATGTATCCACACAAGTTCATCTCTGCAGAAATTTGGGAAGTGGGAGAAGAAAAACAGGATTGTTTACCCACCACAGCTGCCTGGAGAACCTCGCAGACCAGCTGTAAGGATACACCTGTGAATTTCCTTACATGCTTATACTTTAGCAATTTCTGAACAGATTGTCGCTGTCTCTGGGTGACTCCACAAGGTGCTAATTTGATAGCTTATTCATTTGTTATTTAAGATTTTAGTCAGTGTGGTGTATTAACTGTAAAAGTTAATGTTACTTTGAATGGTTTCCATCTCTACATTATGTTGGAGCTTCAAGTTGCTTGCAGCTGATCACCTATATGTGATGCAAACTGCAAAGGTACCATCCTCTGTTTGTAGAAGTTTGCAAGGATGTATCATTATACACTTGTTTGTATTTATTAGAGAAGAATGTGACTGTATTGCTACTTCTGTGCACAAAGATATAAATGTAACTTTCCTTGAGTAGTGGAGCTAGTGGTGCCTGTTTGATGTAGGTACAAGAGAGTGCACGCTCTTCATTTCTTAATATCTCTGCCTTATAGATTCTCTGTGGTCTGATAATGTGTTGCCTCTTGCTGTGGCCTCCCCTTAAGCTATTCAGAGGTTATTTTCTGTCATAGTGGTTGCTTGAAATGTTTAATGTGGACTGATAGGTTCTAAAGTTACATGGGGAGGGATGTGAGTCAGATGTGACATATGGTAGCAGGTTTTTTCTTATGAAACCATTTTATATATACTGTACAGTGGGATTGTTTCTTCAGTCTGTTGCACAATAACTTGTGTTGTACTAAGCCACAAACTGAAGCAAAGAATCTAAAATCCTTTGTTACCTGTGTGGTCAGTGTAGGGCCTTCTGCTGGCTGTTCAAGACAACTTTTGGAAAAGTCAGCATGAGTAACATGGTAAAGCTTTAAAAGCAGTGAGAACAGTTTAGTTTTTGATAATAGCAGGCTTATGCCTGTTTCTCTCTGTCCCCTCTTAATGATCATTTTATAACTGGGAAGTACAGTTAAATGCAGACAGAAGCAAGCCTCTTCAATGAAAACTTGCATGAAAATGAAGTGTTGTGTATTTGATCATGAGAGGGTCTTATCACTTCTGTTTTCCCTACAGCATAACCTGGGAGAATTTTAGGTTAATTCTTCAGTATTTTCCTCACTCTCAAGAACTGATATTTTGGAATTCCATTTTTGTAATTGTTCTTCACTGGGAATTAATGTGTTGAGGTGTCTGTTAGGCACGCTGCTCAGCAAAGTAAAGTATTTGCATCTCAAAAGAATTAGGGGGTTTGGACATGTGCTTTTGTGGGTTGTGAGTGTTTATTGCTTCTGTGAACCTTATGGCCTATGATGTAGAAATACATGCCATGTACTGTGCTGACTCACACAGTGTATGTCAAAATGCAGTTATTGACTAACTCGCTTATTAAATCAGTTTTTTAGCTGTTCATAAAGAATGCCCTCTCTTTCAAATTTATATTGATATTAAAGTTTACTAGCTAGTTTTGGTCCTTGATGGTACAGTAATAATGTTAAATGGATTTTTGGAGGCAGCTCTTCATGCCAATCAAACTTGAAAACCTCTTCACTTCTGAAGAACTAATTAAGTTCATGATGGTAACATTGTTTAGTTGCTATCCCAGTAAGGTGACTTGACAGCAGAGTGGTATTTTTAGGACTGAATAGGCTTGTCAGTCTTAGACTGCTTCAGAAGATGGGGAGGAGGAAGAGAAATATAATGAAAAATATTATCCTTTTCAGGGATTTCTGTTTATAAACTAATTCTTGTAAGATTATTTTAAAATTTTCTGTATGCTAGCTGCTTTTTTTCATGCTTTCAGTTTCAGATCTTAAAGGTATGCCTGATTTGGTATGTTCATGATATAGGAAGGGGAGTCATAATTTATTTCTAGTAAGAAAATAGATTGTGGAGCAGATGTGTATGCTCCATTCTTGTTTTCACAGCAAAATTACTGATCCTCTAACTTTTTTTGCACCTAGGAAATATATCACTGTCGGAGGGAAATAAAATACAGCAATGAGAAGATGTGGTATCTGGCAAAACTGGTAAGCAAAAAGTACTTTGCACTGTATTTGATAGAATGTAAAATTTAATTGCTGTATTTGCCTTAATAACCTAGTTTAATCACAGTCTAATCAGCATAATAGAGTCCTGGGGAAAAGCATGTATCTGTGCAGGCGAGCAGTTGTTTGTAGTTTGGTTTAGCTACTTTTATCCTAGTATGCTCTCAGATGTGTACCCAGGATCACATGAAGATTATGCACTGTGGAAGAATTTTCGTGTTGGTTTCTGCCTAGTAATAGATGGCAAGGGGAGCTTTGAAGGATAGTAATGTGGTGTAATAATTGAATTAATAATAATTCAATATTAATAATTGTATTAATTAAATGTTTTATCAAGATTTATTCAACATTTAGTTCAGATGTTCTATATGTAAGATATTACATTGAAGAAATGTAAGGGAACTAAAGTCTTTTGCCATTTTGCATAGCAAATCAAAATAATTTAAATATTGGCTTCTGAATAAAAGAAGAGAAATATTTGTAATTGCAGAAGTTAACTTGAATACTTTGATTGCAGATAAAAGGAATGACCATTGATCAGGCTCTTGCTCAGTTAGAATTTAATGATAAAAAGGGAGCAAAGGTGATCAAAGAGGTATGTAGTAGTATTCTTTAACACTCCTAGTTTCAAGAAGACTTTAAAATCAATACCTATCACCAGAAGTTTGGGGATGTTTCTATGTCTGTGTTTTCTATATTTCTATTAAGCCTGTTGGGAGCACATTCAAACAATATATTTTTGTAGCAGTCATGTAATGTGGTGACTTAGGAGTATGCAGAGGTCACTTGTGCTGGCGGTTGTAATTTATTATCATTACAAGTTAAATGTGCGTCCCCTGTCTAACAATGCGTGGTCTTAAGTCCGTGATAAATAATGCAGAATCCTTGTCACTAACAGCTGCTACATCTATGTGCTTTGGTTCTTAAATTTTAAGAGATGAAGGATATCATCAGGGAAAGGACTGAGTTCTGTAAAGGCATGGAAGTTTTTCATGCACTGTTGTTGTTAGGAGTCTCACATTACTCATTTTCTTGGCCAGAACATTGATTTCTGGCATAATAATGACACTCCACTCCCTTCCAAAAAATGAAATAAAGCTTTTCAATCTGTATGCGAAGAACATATTTGTTAAGACAAACATCTTTTACATAATTTTGATCTCTATATAATACTTTTTCTATAAGTAACACTTGCGATTTCTTCTGTGTTCTCTAGAGATAAGACGTAGTATTGCTTAGTTGGAAATACTGAGTAGGAATTTCTTTTCCTTTTGTTACAGGTTCTGTTAGAAGCACAGGAAATGGCAGTACGAAATCACAACGTGGAATTCAAATCAAATTTACATATAGGTACATTTATTTTTAGTGAAGAAAAATGTCTTCCTATCCTGTGAGAAAGTTTTATCCTTGATAAGGTTTTGTTGTTTCAGATCAGCAGAAATGAACAGAGGATAGTTTCTAGTGAGTTTATCTTTACTGAAACCTGAAAGGCACATGCTTGCGACTTGCAGCACAGCTGAAGTTAGTGTGGTTGTTGAGCCTTCAACCATCAGTTTATCCTTGGTGTCTGAGTGGTGTTCTTATGGCATCTGCTAGATGCATTTTTTTTAAGATGCTTTCATCTGAAAGTGGAATTTCTGCTCCTTGTGTGAACAGAAAGTCCTGAAGAGGAAGATGCTTGACACGATTATGAAAGACTAGACACGGGAAGCATATTCTTACTGCTTTTTAATATTGCCATGAAAACAGATGCTGGAAGCTTTGTCTGTGGCTAGTACTACTAGCTTTGATTTTTTATTTTTTTTTTTGAATCTGAACGTCTGTGAGAAATGGTGTAAGAGTAAATTAATATTTACAGTAAACTTCTTAATAAAAAGGCTTTGTTATAGATGATTACAGAATAAGATTGTAATAACCACAGCACATTTTTGCCTAGAAAAATGTTAGAGAAATGTTTACTTATAGTTGGGTTTAGGCCCATAGAAAAAATTCCTGTTTTGCCAAATATGGTATAACTGTTATTGAGCTGACCTTATAAGCTTTAAGTAACCTGGATTGTAGAGCAGATTTGATTAGAATTCTTTGGAGCCTTCCAGGCCTCTGCCATAAGAAGGTTTATCTACTAGTGCAGGTCTGGATGTGTAGATAATGAAAATACCTATGATGAGTGCAATAAAGGGAGAAAGGAGGGAAAATGAAGTCTGTAAGACTCCTACAGGAATTCATGAGACAAACTGCTGAAAAACAGTGGAATTAATACCACCTTCAGAAGAGCTATATAATCCAGTAAGTGCTCAGTGTAGCTTCCTTTGGATTTGTCCTTTACTACATATTTATCTTTGCGTGCATGCTTTCTAAATGTACCTTTTTGGTGCTCCTGAAGAGTGTTAATTCAACTCACAGGTTCCTCTACAGCAGTAATCTGCTAAATGTAATAGAAGAAAGATGGAGAGAATCCCAAGTAGAATTAACTCTTCATATGCAGTCATGAAAAATACACTGGCAAGACTGTTTCAGTTGCAGATGTGTAGTGGTTTATTCTTGACTGAATAGTCTTCTCTCCCCTCCCTGCCTTTTTCCTTCAGCTGAGTCAGTGACGGGCAGAGGCCGCTATGTGAAGCGGATTCGTTACCATGGCAAAGGCATGTTTGGCATCATGAAAATCGTCAGGTGCCATTACTTTGTGAAGTTGGTGGAAGGTCCTCCTCCTCCTCCAGAGCCACCAAGGACTGGTTTTGACCAAGCAAAAGAATACGTGCAGCAGCTGCGAAGTAGAACCCTTGTTAATACACTGTGACAAACTTTTGTGACTACATAGGTATTTCTTGTTTGACAATGTAATTATATAAAAGAATAATTAAAGTAATGTTTTAGTTATATCTTTGGTGCTGCTGGAGCTGGATGATGCAAGAATGATTATAGGTTTTTCTTATTTGTCAAGCTATAGGTATGGAAAAATCTTGGAAAAGCAACAAAGATGTTACTTTTTTCTGAGTTACTTGGACCACATCATTCAAGCTCTGGACTATCAAATCTAGAATATACACTGCCATTATAAAACCTGTAAGGAACTGTGGTTGTCCTCAAATTCACACAGCTGTCTGCTATGTATGGTTGGGTCTTTTATTGTAAAAGTACATGCTTGACAGTCACATTGCAAGATCAAGACTTGGACTAAAATGACTAAAATCTACATTTTAAAGTAGCTACAACAGTGGAAAAACCCCAGAAATAATAGTTGAGGTTATCAGGCACCAATTATCATTTCTTTATCTAGGCTGTAATGCTCTTTCCTTACAGCCTCTCTTGTACATCTTGGACACTGTGTTTGGGAGTGGGGAATGAAAAAAATCATGTAAAGCTCAGGTTTTGACAGAGTCGGTAGGTGGCAATGTTTAGTTTGTCAGAGGGTGGCAGTGAAAACTTAAAGCATCTTGGAACTCTGTTCTTGATTCTGACCATGACATTAATAGTCTGATATGTACATGGAGTTCAGGCTGTTCTCTGTGGAAACTCAGTATGGGTAACAGGCACAATATGGAGAAAAGCTTGTCTTGGTGAAGAGTGAACTAATTATTCTGCACTGTCTGGAAAAAAAAATGATTTTGTAATCTTGAGGCGATAAAATGCTCTGTGGGTTTAATATTGAATGGCTTGTTGCGTATACAAATCAGGCTTTCAGTTCTCAGAAAACAATTCCATTTTTATCATGACGTATTAGAAGAGAAAAAGACTGAGGTCAATAGGGGGAATCTTGTTTCACCTAGTCAGATTTTCAACTCATGGCCAGAGATCAGCATAAAAAGAGAATGAGTAGTTGCTTGTTTATGCAAATGTCTGATATTTACAAGTTTCTTTTCCATTGTGGGAACATTAGAGTGGGAGATAGATTGCTTACCTCATTTGGGTCTTTTTACCATACCAGCTAGTGGTAGCCTTTCTTTCATGTGTTTACTTTTGATCAGTACTTGAATGATGGCAAAGGGACAGTTCCTATAAGGAAACAAATTATCTTTCTCGTCTTAATGAAGGTGGCATACAGCTGTTTCTTTTGGCTACCAAAGAAAAGGTCCCATGATGTTAGAGAGTGTTAGGGGATTGTGAAGTTACATGAGTACATGCATAGCTCAGTACCATTAATGGGTGTTTACTTGCAGTCTGTTTTTCTGCAGTGCACTTACAGAAGCGTTAGTTGCTTTAAAGCCACGATTTAGTAACTTGTGTCTGAAAGGTGTGTTCCTGCTAAAACTCTATATTCCCTGACGTGTTTGAAGAACTGTTTCTGATGTGCTATGATAAACAGCTGTGCTTTGCTCTGCCAGCTGCCATTAAACACTTTTTTTGTCATACTAAATCTCTTACAAGTTATAGCAAACTTGAATGACTTAATCTTTCTGGGGGCCAGTGATCTGGGAGAAGACTTACGGAATCGCAAGATAATCAAAGCTTAATAAGCACTTGTCATCTAAGCCTATAAAAACCCGACTTCTAGATATTCCAGTACCTGTTTCTCCTGTGTGGTGTAGATTTTGCATCAGATGCCTTCAGGACCTCCAGACAAGGCTGTATCCTTATAGATATCATTGCTCTAGTTATGAATCTGCAGACTTGGAGAGGAGGGAGAATGTGCCTGATGTCTTTTCCAGCTTCTTTATGATGCAGCAGGTGGCCCTGACACTCTTTAAACAAACAGACCTGGGCTTTTAAATTTTTTCAGTCAAAAAGCAAGATTGTTGCATGTCATTCTTGTTTTCTTTCTTAAAGCTGTAAGTGGGAAGGCTTTTTTTGACATGTGTTTCAGCATTTCTCTTATTCCTTAGTACCCTTTTCCACTGCCTTAAAGGTGTATAACCATTAGTGGATCCTTAAGGTGTTGGCAAAGGAAACTTGACAGCCGTGGCTGTAACTGTCAGTGGTGGGAGAATTGGTGAGATGAGGGTCTTGAACTGGCTTGATCCCTGTTCTTCACTGGTAGGACAGTGGGAGTGTCTGAAGCTCGCTCTGTGATAGGTGCATCAAAACATTGGTATGGGAACCTGCCTGAACCTTTTTAAAATTCAGTAAGATATAAAGGTCCATACTGTCGAGTTCTATATATAAATAAAAGTTGAGGTTTTTGATCTACTGTGCTTCCTTGGTAATTTGTACATCTGCCCTTCAGCTAGGTATTTTATATGGTTTCAGACAGGAAACTTCATGCTAATGGCAACAAGTCTTTAGCAGAAGATCATCATTTATTATTATGACCTCTAATAAAAGAACATTCTTAAAGGAGCCGTCACCAGAAGGGAGGGAGAGAGGCACCTAGGCCTCCACTTGATGCTCATTTTATTAGTAATGTCTAGGGGCTGTGTATGCTGACGTTACAGAAGCTGGGGAAGGAACAAGTATGCGTGAAGGTGTAGTAAGGCTTCAGGGAAATCTGAGGAGAGCAGAACTGAACTGTGCTCTGCAATGTGAGATGTAATTGAGGAAAACTTAAAAACCTGCTGTTGGGCTTGTTCATAAACTTTAAAGTATCCAGTGAGAAAGTCAAGGTACTTTCTGTCAGACAGCCTGATGTCTTTTTGGATGTGTGGGTTTGGTTTGGTTTTTTTCCTTTTTAAAACACCTGGGCAGTTACTGAGAGGGTAGCTCATTAAAGGTAAAGAAAGACTCATGAATATAGTTATCAAGTGATCATCAGCCTCTTCCTCTTTAAAAACATGGAAGATAAATGTGAGTGATAGACAATGACTAGACAGTTATGAGTTAGAGACCTGTGATTCTGGTCAGGTCCGTACTGGAAACTACTGTTGTGAGGTGGGTGGACTGTGTTAGGGCTCAGGTGGTACCTGGGCACAGACAGGCAGGTTCTGCCCAGTGCTTCAGCTATGTTGCTGCATGTGACATGAACTTGGCTACACCAAGGACATGCAGCACAAATCTGTTTACCCCTGTTTGCACAAATGAGGTGTATAATGATACTGCCACCTTTGCATTGCAGTGTTGCTTGGGAAATCCTTCAGGTTTTCTTCCACAGAAAGAGTCGTCAGACAGTGGAATAGGCTGCCCAGGGAGGTGGTGGAGTCACCATCCCTCGATGTGTTTAAGGGTCATTTAGATGAGACGTTGGAGGATATGGTGTAGGGGAGAACTTTGTAGAGTCGGGCTGGTGGTTGGACTCATGATCCCAAGCGTCTTTTCCAACCTGAATGATTCTGTGATTTGGAGAACTTCCTCTGGTCATGGTTTTAATGGACCCAAGTATGCAGTCTGCTGTATCTGATGTGAGCATGTTCTTGGCTCCCGTTCAGCCTGATGTTCATGCAAGTCCCAGGTCCTTTTTAGGTTGCTCATCAGAATTGCAGTAAGTACCTGTGGTGCCTGTGTTCCAGCTCTCATTGCTTTTCTGTAATGAGGACTACTTTACAACTAGGAAATTGTTCTGTTATGTGGATGGTAATTTTCTTTCCTAATAGAAAAGTTGCAAAACAGTTTTCTGGCTTCTGTTATTAGTGAAACTCATAAGACTGGAGTAAAGGCATTGCTACATGCTATTGTGGTAAACTCCATCAATGTATGCATCTAAGAAGCAGTGAAATGTGTCTACATCTCTCCCATTGATCATCTCCTTCAGAGCAAGACAAACATAGGTCCTTACTGTATGCTGACCATGTAAATTAAAACTTTAAATGAAAACAGAGCAGACTGTGAGGTGTGCTACTTTAGGCTATAAAAGGATTGCTGTTCAAAATGAGTTCTTCTAGATGCCCCCAATTCCTTGCCTTTTTTCCCCACTGAAAATTCCCAATAGTGCATTAAGATGAACTTGATAGTTAGTAAATTTTCCCCTATGTAGTTTACAAGCTCAAGGTTATGGACTAGAACAAGTAGTGTCATGCTATAAATCAGGTGTAATGGAACAGCTTGAGAGAGCGCACAGAAGTCCTACTTCTCCTCACACAGTGTGTGTCCTAAAACTCTGAAGATAGAGTTGGCACAAACTCAGAAACCCCCACAAATGGCTGATTAAATCATTAATAATGAGCCTTGTCCTGCTACCCTCTCTCTTCTGGCATTTGAATTCCCCAAATCATTCCAGTACAGCAAGGAGTACTGGAAAATTTTCACCAGAAATGGGAGCTAGCTGAAGCCTGCTGTGGTGCAGAATGGAGGTGGCACATCTGCCTTGTAGTTATCTTTCCAGCAACTAAATGCCTTTTGTTGATGTGCTGGATCATAACTTACATAGCTTTAGCTTTCAGCTATTCCTGATGGTTCTTGTTCTCTCCCCTGGCTTAAAAAGTCATTTTCTGTTTCTTTCAGGCCTGAAATGTGTCGCTAGCTCAGTGAGTATGAAAGCAAAGGGTCTAAAGGAGAACCTTCCTGAACAGGCAGGGGAAGGCATTCCTGAGTGAGCAGCTATCATCCTCCCAACAGAACTGGGCTGAGAGTTTTACACGGGTTAATATTTTGGCTGAAGGTTGCCTGGATGGGTTTGTATTCTGTCAGCTCAGAGCCCAGGCTGAAGAAGTGGTCTGTGCTGTAACAGAGGTGTCCTGAGTTGGAGCCTGTAATGTGGTTCTTGCGAGAAAAAGACAAGCTGGAGATATCAAATCTTGAGCTGTAAATACTCAGTCACCGGAGGTGACTTCTACATAGAGTTTATATTATAGTAGTGGAAGAATTATGATAGTATATCCATGTGTATGCTTTAGCTATGTTTTGTCTGCCCTGTCCATGTGAATTGGGGAAGCCACCAGATATCCCTGTTAGTGGCAACCTCTTAAATAATGCTGTTGCTTAGTTTCATCCTGAGTGTGCCCAGAGCCTTAGGTAAATGTAGAAATGTGGTTGCAGACAGTTGAATGTGGGAAGAAAAATATCACCTTCTT